ACACCCGAGTATAGCCCTAAGTGTGATAAATAACAGGCCGGAGTTTTACAACCAGACTTTCAGTAAGCGGGCATATCTTAGCAATATGGAAAAAGAGCTTCTGAAACTTTCCAACGGAGAAGTTAAAAAAAATAATAACACTGGACTTAGTGTGGAAAACCGCGTGAATGTGATACTCCATAATTCACACAATATACCAAGTTACCAAAATTTTGGAGCGTATGCAAGAGAGACAGTGGAACTCAACGAAGATTTTTCTAAGAAGGATAAGATTGTGGCTTGCGTGGCGCCCCTCCAGGGCAACTTGGGCGTTATACAGATAGTGGAGTACATTGAGCTGACTCTCCTTCTTGGCACCCAGCACATCGTCTTCTATACCTTCAGAGTCTTCGACGACATCAAAGTTGTGCTGAGGATGTACGAGTCACGTGGGCTCATCACCGTCCTACCGTGGAACATTCCAGATCCGTCGTCGATCTGGGCTAAGGGTCGTGACGCAGCTTTGAACGACTGCCTATACAGGACTATGTTTCTCTTCGACTACGCGCTGTTTCTCGACCTGGACGAGTTCTTCGTGCCCCGCATCACACCGGATATGCCTTCCTTTCTAAAATATTTGCACCAGGCTCATAACTTCAACGCCACCAAGATCACAGACATCGTCTTCAGTTCTTCCTATTTCCCGCCTCCAACCAAAGCGGATTACCTGACTCTGTCTCAGGTTTCAGGCGCCGGCAAGGAGTTCGGCAAGTTCGCCAGCCTACGAAGCGTGCGTCGCTCGTACTACAACCAGCAGCATACTCTACGCATGATACGCACGGACGCGGCTTTCAGGGTAGGTTCCGGAGAGCGTCGTAAGACGACGTATACCATCAGCACCCGGTACGCGTCCGTTCACCACTACAGCTACTGCCCGCGGGTCAAGGGTAACGACGCTGCTGCCCCAACGAGAGGATCTCAAAACATCACCGCCGGCAACAACGGGCATGGCCAGGGCGGGGCAGTTAAGGTCAACGCTGGTCAGTCGACGGTGGCGGACTTCTGCGCTCATATAAAACTGGACTGGATTATGTGGAGATATAAGTCAAAACTTATTGAACGGACAAAGCAGAGCATACGACAGTTAAACAATCATTAGCAGTAAATCGTAAACCTTAACTCTTTCTCTCCTAACTGACGATACCAGCGTTGATTCCACCCAGAATGTGGTAAACAATTAAGGAGAGAAAAAGTTAATTCCATGAAGCCAAATTATTTATTTTTTTTGGCGCCATATAAATTTCCCACAAAAGTCTGACAGAGCATATCACCATAAACTTATCATTGTGAACAGTCGAACCCATGGTCTGCGTCCTATCAATTGTCTTATCAATTGTGTGTACTATGAGTAAAGGTACTGTGTACTGAGGTAGAAGCACTATGAACTTTGTGAAGTCAGGCGGTGCCGGTTAGCACGTGGGCTTGGGCCGGATATTGCCTGAGGGCTATTGATTAAGGATCACTGCCCTAATAAAGTCTTTTTCAAGCTATAGCGACTAATCAAACTAGAACACCATTTTATGATCCTTAACCATTCCATTTACTTTAAGATGTTTAAAAGATTCATTTATGTGTTACTGCTTGCCTTGTATAAAGATAGATCAATAGTTTATAAAATTTAACTAATAGTCTCCCTTTCAAGGAACAATAATACACTCTGTCAAGAGAAGATATACTTATAAATGTTATTTTATTACTGTATACCGTGTTTATTCAAATCTGTTATTTCTAATAAGGATAATGAGGTGTTAATTTATTTTAAGAATGTGACCTACCAGGACACAGTGCTATATTTATTATTTTACAATTGTTATATAATTGTTATACTGTTGTTATCAAGGCATCGAACAACATTGTCTTATGTAATATGGTTTGATTTCACAGTTGAATGTACTGTAATGATATAACAAATATAGAATGTTATCTCCCTTTGAAATTGGAAAAAAAAATATTTACACAAAATCCGCAATTTCAAAGATCTTTTAGTGCATTTAACGATATGTGTGTGTGTGTGTTTGGAATGGGGAATTAAAGGATTTTAACCTGCTTTTCTTTGACAACCCTCCCCCATCAGGTAAACTAGTCCCAGACATCCCTACCATTAAAACACTGGTGGCAGGCTTGAGGTATGAGGTCATTAGTTTGCCGATCTGTCAACTCCAGGCATGCAGCGTGTAGACATAATAAAGAATAGCTTAGTGTCTTATAAGAAAAGAATTGTCACAGTAGTTCTATTTCTCGGGGAAAAACTGAACAGATATTTTTCTTGTTATAGGGGTCCTTATTATAGGGGTTCCTGTTATAGCGGTCCTTGTTATAGGGGTTCTTGTTATAGGGGTTTTGTGTTGGGATGTAATTCCAACTTAACAATGTCAACGTATTAACTTTCAAACTAATTTTAAGCTTGAAACGTCAGATACAAAACCAAAATCAATGTCAATCTTATTGATAGATATATATGTATACATCTTTCGGAAGCCCAGTGGCTGAAAGATAAAGCGCACGACTTCTGGTGCCCCGGGTTCGAATCCTAGAGAAGACTGGTTAGTGTGTTTCATCCGACACACACACACAAACTCCCCAGCATTCCTCTTTAAGCCACTCCCTTGATTATCATTTTGAATTGCAGTTGGACACAAGGCGCTTTAGCCAGAGCCGGTTTTAGGCATAGGCAAACAAGGCTGCCGATGACAGGGCCCAATGAAAATATTTTTTAGACAAATATATTGAGAAACATGGATCAAATCTTAAACATACAATGTGTCAACTAGTCTACCTTTAGTTAGGTCTCTAATATAATTGAAGTTTATTCGCGAATGTTTAGCTCTACTTGTCAGACTACATATGTCAGAAGACCATTGTTGGTTCCTTTTGATGAAATGTCGAAAAGTTATTTCTAGTCTGGTGATCACGAATCGTCCATGAAGCATATTTGCCATATCGGCACTATATCAATTGAACTTATTTGTTGATTAAGATATAGATACAGGACAGTTTATAATTGATTGCGTATTTATCGGTCTTATTTTTTTTGCTTTTCTCTTTTATTTGTGGCCACACTATTCACTTTACATGGGGCCTCCAATTACCTAAAGCCGGCCATGCAATGACGAAGGTGACATAAATATAAACAAGAAGTCCCTTATACTCAGGGGCGTAGCTAGGAATTTTCCATCGTTTGGGAGCCCGGGGGCTTGACCTCTTTGTGGGCCTCTGAATTTAGCGTAATATTTAAATTTTAATTTAAAAAAAACACTTATTTAGGGCTCCCCCTCTTCCCCCCCCCCCACCACCCTAGCAACTTCATTGCTTATACTAGAACTATAGCCATTTAATCAATCACACAATTATTACGAATAGTAACAACAGAAAGTGTTTGGGTTACTTTAAAATCAGGTCGCCGGATAAGCCGCTAGTCTGAGCCCCACCACAAACACTTCTTTTAGACCCCCTTCCGCGTTCGGACCATCTCTCCTCCTGTCAAGAGTTCGCCTTGTTGACAAGAGTACATTAAATTGTGTATAGCACGCAAATATATCAATTTACTCTCTAAACTAAGAATTGTTGTCTATGTCATGGTGCCCCGGGGCCCAGTATTTAGAGAGTATCTGATTTGACCTACTTTATATACAAACTAACAAGTAAGTCATAACTATAAAAATACTGTGATAATATAATTATAAAGAGGATCTGTTGTTTTGTCAGTTATCTCATTAATCAGTTATCTTATTAGTCAATTATCTTTGTTTCAGACTTTCTACACACACTCACACACACACACACAAATAAAACCAAATCAAGTGCAGCTATAGGACTGTATCAATGGGACGGCTGTCTGGTGGTCGTTTGGTATGCGCTCTGAACTTTCATCTACCGCACAATTGCTTCTACGGCTATCAATAATGAAATATCAATTAACTACAACGAATAAATAAACTAATTGGTTAATTTTTTTTTATTGATTTCGTGTGTCGGCAGCGGTTGACATCGACAATGAATAATTGTGCAGAGTTTCAACTTGATCCGAGAATGGGAATGGTAGAGATAACATGTACAGACAGACAGACAGACAGAGTGAGCTGATAGAAGCTTTGTAGAAAACAGTTGAAATATAAACTAAGGTATAATCTAAGATAGTTTTGCTTTAGAAAAATAAGCCTATATATTTTTAGTACCACAATATGCTGCCCTCTTAGTTCTAGATAGTTATTTTCATATATGCACTGAAAGTTCAAATAAAATTAGGTATGCCTATGCGTAACTATATTTCAATACACAAAACACTTAAGAACGATAACTTGATCGTGGCTACAACTCTACTTGTATAAAAATTCTTAATTTTTATCAAGTGGTAACTAGAGTTATCTATCTTGTCAGGAGATGAAAGAATTACTTCCTTAACTGAGGGGAAGACAACTCTTCATTCTTTATTAAAGACTCTCATCTATTGAGGATAGTTATAAATATCTAGCTATTGAGTGTATCTGTTGAACAGAGTATAGAGAGTGTTATAAGATATGTATCTTTAAATGTATACATGGTGATGTGCTATACCCTTTTAATAAAATGAAGACACATTTCTAAGACCTTAAGCTTGTAACACACTTGTGGTGTGGCATTCTTATAATGTAACCATATATATATGCAACACATGACTTATTATATTTTAAATTTTTTTTTAATGCTACCTTATACCGCTCCAGCATTTCTCCGTATCTCTTGTTCTTCTTTCACCGTGTTACTGTATTTTATTGTAAATGGATCTTTGAAAAACGTAACTAAACAGGACACTACTATGTTTAAAATTTGTCCTAAAATCTCCAATAGCTCACAAAACGACAAATGTATCCTTTTTTTACCATTCTGTGATAAAATGCTCTTGGTGATTGCCCCTCGTGCTAAAGATAGATTTATGATCTAAATAAGGTATTCTTTAAATGAGAAAATTACAATTTGGAGTATATTTCGCCTATGACAAATGCACTACATTTAGCATGTACCACTGTTTCTAAACATGTTTTTAAAACGGTATACATTTTCATGCATAACATCAATTATATCATTTTCTTTCATCTTCACTGTAATTGCTAGATCAAAATATTTGCGATGTTCAGCTTTGACTCTTTTTGTAGTGTACTATGTCAGCTGTTTTCAACTCGTGGCTATCGACTGGGCGGGGGGGGGGGGTCAAAAACGATTTGTCAGGGATTGACTAAGACCACAAGAAACATGCACATCAGATATTTATATTATAATGGACCTCATTCACCAATCGTAAACAAACAACAATTAGTCACGTGATAATGTTGGTTAAACAACAAAAAAAAAAACTGTCACGTGATAGCCATTGTGTATTAAAAATTATATCGTAATTTGTATAGAAGAGATAGAAAATCAAGTGGCTAAATTTTGTTTGTTTACGATTGGTGAATGGGGTCCATAACAATTTCATAAGAGTTGAAGTCATAGGTTAACATGCACGACTAGATTGACATAGAGACACGCATAGGGCGTAATCATCTTCATTTTTATAGTGAAGTTTCTATTTTACATCATCTGATTTTGAAGCCAAAATATACTGAATCTTTTTCTTGTTTTAGATCTTATAAGTTTTAAGTACAATTGGTTTGAGAGTGAGTGAATATAATTTGATCTTTTTATATTGTTCTTATGAGTGAGCTTTCAGTTGTATTTTGATGTGATTACAAGTTGAATTATGTTTGTAGTGATCGCATGATGAATTAGCCTATACCTGATGTAGCACATGTATTTTTGCCCAAAGGGAGGCAATGAGCATGTTTTGTTAAATTAAAAAGATAATGTTATTGTTATTTTACTTGCTGTTTGTATACTTAATAAAAATGCTAAGTTATCTTCTTTTAATGACTTTGTTGTTAAATTACGTAAGGAACAATCTTAGATCCACTACTATTTTTAATTTAAATAAATGATTTACCAAATTGCATTAGTTCAGATCTGACAAAAGTCAGATTATCTGCAGACGATTGCATAATATATAGAACGATTAAAATAACACAAGATACAATTGTTTTAGAAAGAGTAATAGATTAATTACATAAATGGGAATCAAATTATTGGAGCATGTCTTTCCACCCAGAAAAATGACAGTTATTAAGAGTAACAAAAAAACTAAAACAAAATAATTCCACTTGTCTTATTCATGGTAAACTAGCAACACAGACTAAGAACGCAAAATACCTAGGTGTTATAATAAATGAAAAACTGTCATGGAGTCCTCATAATGATAAAAGTATCAAAAAAATCAAACAAAGCATAATGGTTTATTAAAAGAAATTTTTATAAATCAAATAAGAACATTAAACTTAAATGTTATTTAACCTTGGTTAGGTCAATAATAGAATATGCCTTCTCTGTTGGGACCCCTAAACTCAAGAAAACATTAAGAAACTGGAACATACACAAAATAGAGCAGTGAGATTCATAACAAACGAATATTCACATTTGACTAGAGTAACACCTTTAGTAAAATCACTAAATTTAGAAAGCTTTCAGGATAGAAGACTTAAAAGTAAAGTAGCAATTATACATAAAACACTGAACGATAATCTTCAAATACAAAAACAAAATCTAATAAAATACTCAGAAAGACACAAAGATAAAGGCACATTCCTCGTTCCATATGCTAGAACAAAGTTGTACAAATGCTCCTTCTTCCCTAGCGCTATTAGAGCATGGAATGGGTTGCCTAAGCTAGCCAGGAAAACCAGTGACTTGGCAGAATTTAGGTCATTGGTTAATATGCATGACTAAATGCATAAAACGTAGGACGCAATCATCTTTTTTGAAGATAAGATATACGTATCATGATTTTGTTTGTGATACAATGAAAAACCTTCGGTGCGAGACATATAAATGTAGAACAAATGTAAATGAACGTTCAACCGAGACCAACCGTTATAGAAGGCCTCAACACTGACCTGCAACGTCATAACCTGTGGGCACTTTAGTATAATAGCCCCTTACCACGTCGTACTGACATGTGGCAACAAAACTATTGATCTAAATTACCAACATGTGTTTTGACGCTGCAGGTCAGTGCTCAGGCCTTCTATAATAACGGTTGGTCTCGGTTCAACTAACCCGTATTATGTCTTGGGGGGTAGATGTTATAGAATCCGTCTTTCGTACTCTAATGTCTAAGAAATATTACTGAACTATCATCATCATCAAACTCCATTTGAGAAAGGGTTTGAGAGGCTCAAATCCTCTCTTGCAAAAGCCCTGGACAGAAACCCTGCTGTCTTGCGTAGTGCATAAATGTCGCCATACAGGTCGAGAATTTTGGGTTTCCCAGACCTGTCGAGACGGAGATCAGCAAATCTGGGGCAGTCAAACAGAATATGAGGCACGGTTTCCTCTTTTTCCCCGCAGTGGGGGCACCGTGAATCGAAATTTGGCCATAGCTGAGTCTAGTTCGGCGTTTGACTTTTTTTTTTTAGGGATGACTCATGAATAGTACATTTTTAATGTTAACATCAATAATTTGTTTTTTTACCCACCCCTTCTCCCAATTCCTCTCTCTCTCTCTCTCTCTCTATCTCTCATTTCTTTCTTTCTTTCTCTCTCACCCAGTCGCCTACATACACATCTAAAGGCAAACACAGCACGTCATTACATTCTGTTCACTGAGCCTCTCTTTGACAAAGGTCATAGGTCATGCGCCATTACAAGACGGTCAAAGGAAATATCTGTCGTAAAATCTAATGGTAAAAAAAAAAAAAAACATTAGTCGAATATAGCCTGAGCTAGCCAGGAAAACCAGTGACTTGGCAGAATTTAAGTCATTGGTTAATATGCATGACTAAATGCATGACGCGTAGGACATAATCATCTTCTTTTTTGATGTAACGTCTGTATTATATAAGATAAGATAAGAATCATACAGTATTACCATAACGATAAGTATTTATTACAAGCAGTACGGTAATTATTTTGTTACTAGCAGTACGTTAATTATTTTGGTACTAGCAGTACGGTAATTATCTTGGTACTAGCTGTGCGGTAATTATTTAATATAATCAGAAAAGGTTGGAGCAGGGCCGGCATTAGGCATAGGCGAACTAGGTACCAGCCTAGGGCCTCCGATTGGTGGAGGCTAGCACAGGACTCAATACAAAATTTGAGGGAAGAACTAACATGCCCAATATTTCTGATGGAGTACACTAGGTTTGAAATAAATTCCGTAATTTTAGTTTTTCGCTTTTTCTTTCTTTATTTATTTTGGGGCCACCGAATTCCCTTCACCTAGGGCCTCCAATAATCTAAGGCCGGCCCTGAATGGAGTGTTTGTTAGTCCGATGTTTTATTCCTATGACGTGGGTGCAGGGCCGGTCTTCGGCCACTGCAACCTATGCGGTCGCAGTGGGCCCCGCGCTTTCATAGGCCCCGCGCTAATTCTAAAGAATGAATGCAATGCAAAGTCGAATTTAATTTTCTAATACAAAATCTTAATTTTCACTTCTTATCCCAACTCAGACTAGGCCCCGCGCAATTAGTTTCGCAAAGGGCCTCGCAATTGTTAGGACCGGCCCTGCGTGGATGAAAGGAAGTGGGATGGTTTTAATAGAGCTAAAAGTCCATGTTTGTATACGACGCTATGCACACGGCTATTAATCAAACACACGGCCATTACACAGACAGACATTACACACCTCTAAAGCCTGTTAGATGTGAAGATATCATTAGGAGACCGCAAATTGTCACGTCAGGAACATCTTAAGGGCGCGCAAAAGATAGGGCTGGACTAACGCTGACAAATTGACCTATTTAAGTTGTACTTTAGCTATGGATTGACAATGATCAGATTACAAAGGAAGGTAACAGTTTATAGGGAAACACCGATAGCTGTTCACATTTGAGTTATAGACATATTTAAATTCTGCATAAAAAGTTTTAATAGTAAGCATTTTACCATTTTGTATTTAAATGCTTTGAAACTATTTATATTTATTCCCCCTCCCCCTTTTTTTTCCCCCTTGAGTAACAAAACAAGAAACTCTAATTTACAAAAAGACCTTTTTTGTTAATTATCATTTACCCAAATTTACATGTTTCTTCCTGGCGTCTGTAGACATGATGGGAAAAGTTACGACTTCTATCGGCGCTACGATGACGTGTTCATTTTTTCCCCCTCAATACTGTACATTAGTGATGCCCAAAATACGGCATGCGGGCCATATTCGGACCGCGACGTGGTTCAATCCGGCCCTTCCAAAGTCGGCACAAAGCGTAAAAAATTTCCCCTCCAAAAAACAAAAATGGTCGAAAAATGTACCTTCACCCTACGTTTAGGGGGACTACTGTATCTGTTAGCAAACATAATGTAGGCTCAAGGCGCCTGTGGTGGTAATAATAATAGCGATGTCTTCGATTCCCTAAGATTAAGGATGCGTGCAGTGATTTACATGAATATGCAGACCCAGTTGTGACCTACATATTTTCCTGCCTCTCGTAATAACATAACAAAACATAAACACGAGAGTTAGAACGACAAAACGGTCTAAAAATAATAAGTTTTGTTATTTCATTTTAAAATATTTTTTGTTACGTATCAAATCTTCAGAGCCCCTCCCCCTTGTAACAAATCGTAACAAATTTGTATACCCCCCCCCCTTCCCCCTTCAACTGTTACGTATTATACAAAAGTTTCCGTCTACCCCCACATCAGTCGAGTACAATTTATTTCCCTTGTTCGAGATACCAAACATAATAACTAATTACCAATATTGACATTTATTGATCCTTGTCTTGTCAGGTAGAGGAAATAATAGCGCAAAAATTTCAGCTTGATCCGAGATTGGGTGTGGGAGAAATAACGTGTACAAACTTTTGACCAGACAGACAGTGTGTTGATATAAACTTTGTAAAAAGCATTAGGATAATAAGCTCGAGAGAAAAAAAAAATTCATTTTCATCCACACCCCTCCCTGTCCCCTCCCCCCCCCCCCCCACATGAAAAAAAAGTGTGTCTGACTGAGTCTAACAAACTGGTCAGTGTAAGGCTAGCCTAGAACTTTATTAGGCTACGTGTAGTTTGTTGTGACGACCACGCGATAGTTTTTGCAGTATGTTGAGATGTCAAGCGAGATAATACACACTGCCAGTTGTGCTCTAGTCAAGCCTGTAGATCTACTCCTATC